TTTTCATAAAACAAACAATAAAAAGATGATCAAATTATTTTTCATAAAACAAGTAATAGGTCCTTTATTTAGAGAAAAAAAAATAGGCACATTATTTAGAGAAAAAATAGTTTCATTTTTAAAATAAATAAATAAATAGATTATCAAATTATTTTTCAACATAATTAGAATGTACACTATTGTTCATAAAACTATAATAAAATAGATTACTAGTTGTATAATTCATAAAAGGAAAACAACATTAATTCCTAAATTTAATATTGAATTTAAATGACTAATACGTTAAATAGATTACTAGTCGTAATTCATAAAAGGAAAATAACATTAATTCAAAAATAGATTACTAGTCGTAAAATAGATTACTAATAATTAATGTTGAATTTAATATTTAATTTCAAATAAGTTTCTAAATTAATTTCTACATCCATTACAACCATTTGGAGATCTTTCCAAATTCAACGTGTGTCATTAGTTACATTCCCCCCATAACAGATTAACTTATAAATAGGGGTAGTTTTGGAATCCGAAAAATACAATAAATTAGATTTTAAGTTATATTAGGTAACTTGCTTAGTTGGATCATAGTCATCGGGTATTATTTGAAAAAATTGGGTATTTTAAATAGAAAACTAAAGGAAAGGGTTGTAGGTGATTTAAAATGAATTTTATGGGTCTAAGCTCAATTTACTATAATATAAATTAATATTCCCAGGTTCTTCCGAGTTAGTGTTGTCAAAAAGTGCACGTATTTCCTTGTTCAAATGGGATAACTAGTGCTTTAAGGAAGAACCCTTTTCAAATGGGATAAGATAAGAACCTTGTTTCACTACCAACAAATAAGTAGTGCTTTAGGAATTTTCCTTCAGATAAGAACCTTGTTCTTTCCAAAGCCTTTGGACCAGAAGGTTGATAAATGGAGCATTTCAGCTTTTGCGTGTGCTTGACAAGATTCCTATAATCGTTTTCCTGGTTTTTTTTTTTTTTAAGGGGCCAACGGGTGGCGAACCGCGGTCGGACCTTTCCTTCTGGGATCCGGAGAGGGGCTACGATTCCCATTAATCGTTTTCAATGGGGCCAAGAAATACCACATTTGTGTACTATAGATTCACTATATGATGTATGAACTATAGCTTGTACTAGTGATGTCAATTACAAATTTTATCTTCTTAGATGTTGATATTGTTTATACATCTCTTAGTGGTATTAATTAAAATGAGGTACAAAGTCAAATGAGACCTACATCCATTTACTTTATCATGAAGCTTTGCTCCATCGATCTCTTTGTCTTTGTTAACAACTCGTAAGTTTGATTAACTAATCTGGTTGGGTTGTGATTCTCCAAAAGGGGATGTACTAGAGTTATATCGGTTAAATAGATCTACAATTCTTATTCTTCTTTTATCTCTATCAAATAGGGAGACGAGTTTTAACAAGGGATCTCTTTACATCCTCTAGCTAGTAAAGTTTAGATCTCAAGTTTTTACAACAAAAAATTGATATTAGAAAGAATAACAAACTCTTTCGCATGAACCCATATTGTAATAACCTCAAAAATAGAATTTTGTTGTTATTAATGTTCCGAAAAATAATATACGATGAATAGTAATTATGGGCAATTTTTGAAGTTAATTATGGGTAAAAAAATTTGAAGCTCCGAGTGCTGACGTCATCGATGATGTCAGCCCCCCGAGTTTTGGATTTGGGGCTGGACTTGCCCTCGGGCCAGCCCGTCTTCGTGGCCCCCACATGGAACTCGGGCCAGCCTTAGTTGCGGGAACCCATTTTTCACCCAAAACCCCCCAGCCCGAGTCCAAAACGCTTTGCTGGACTTGCTCTAAGGGGAGAGTAGTCTTTTTTTTATAGGTGAGGGGGAGTCTCCATCTCTTGTAGTTTTCCGATGTGAGACTCCTGGTTGCTCGGTTAGTCACGGTACCAACACTTCCTATATATATATATGCAATTAATTAATCACAAATCTACTAAATGCGTGTTTAAAAGTTAATGTGGATCCAAATAACGTCTCTCTCATCAGTGGCACAATGGTGTTCTAAAAGTTAATTGGATGGGTTTTTTCTGTTGACGGCGCACCATGGTGGAGGCTGCGACGCAGAGGCTATAGCTGCTTTCGAGGGGGTGTGTTTTTAAGGGTGATTCTTTGCCGGTATTGCCAATGCTATTGGCGCTGATATGGCGCATTTTTATATGGAGAGCAGGATCCTGGACAATACACGCTTGATCTTAAAGAGATTGCTGGAGTCCGGTTTCCATTCTGTCCCTCAGGAGCCGAATGGTGTATCGGTAACAAATCATCAAAATACATTTGGTAACGAATTGAAAGCAAATATTACTTACGAAACTGAAAAGTAGTCTTATTGTAAAACATTTACAGCCCTAATAATAATGACAGCATATAATCCTATAAATTAATTGTTTTCCTCAGTGCTACAGTTGGGATTCTGTCAACATATAATTGTCCAATATAAGTCCATACAATTTCTATTTCCTAGACATATACCCATCATTCTATAAATCTATGTGTAAAAATCAATTTCAAACTTAAATGACCAGTAGGATATAAAAGGTCATAGTATTCCTATGTTTTTACATCCTTGCCATCAGACTTCATATTTTATTTATAATTTATTCCAAGCATTTCATTAACTGCCATAATTGTAATTAAAACTCCCTATTAATAGCATATCAATCACCCCATTTCCTTTGGTTGCCATTCCCTCTAACATATCGCCCCCTAAAATTGCAAACCAATAATGTACATATGAAAAATATAAATATAAATATATACGTATAAAAATATAGGTATATTATTTACCAAAAAAAATTAACAAAAATAGGTCAGTTACTTTGTAATTGAAATTTTCGTACATTTTTCATAAATTAAAAATAGGTACACAATAATTTATAGAAAATAGGTACGTTGTATAATTGAAATTAATGCACATTTTTTATAAATTAAAAATAGGTACATTATTTAGAATAAAAAAAATTATTTTCATAAAACAAACAATAAA